AAAGTACGGCAAAATATAGTTTAGAACAATGCCGTTAAAAGTTTTGTTTTAGGAGACAGAGTTCTTGTGAGACAAATGGAACAAATGGTAAAAAAATAGCCACAAAACACAGGGAAGGGAAACAGAAACTGCTGGAGACATGTCGATGTTTTCGGTGTATAACTCATTTTAATGTTTCTGTATTCATCTAGACAGTTGAATTGTGCTAACTATTGTAGTATATAAGCAAGAGAAAGCAACAATTTCTGCAAATATTTCCTAACACTGCTTAAAAATATTCTATGTTCGATCAGCTTAACCAATTAAAGCTAAACTAGTTAGAAAGGCATTCAACCTCAAACTTTATACAAGTGTGGAGTATCCTTTTACTTGACGAGCCTAGACACAAAAAAACAATTTCATTTTATTGTCTTTAGTACTGGACAATGTCTGCTATTATAACTACATATTACAAAAATTTAAAAATTTATAACTTTTAAAAGCGAATGTCGGATATAGCAGAGAGCGGTCTCATTCTCTAGAGAATTCTACAATGCATAGTCTCTAACCATAAACCATATGTATTTCAGATCAGTTCAGATACTAATTAATGCGTAAAAAACATCCATAAGAGAAAACTAAATAGTCAAAAGAAATGAAACAGTCTGTTATTTTCTCTCTCATCAATCAATTCGAATGAATTACACAGGTGACATATTAATATCTGCGCCATGATCAAACTGGGTTAATTTAACACGTAAAAAGCCATCCTTAACGTAACCACCACCATTAGCCATTGCTACCACATCGATAACATGTGTTCCTGGAGCTAGATAAACCGTATCACTTTTACCACATTGTAAACGTTAATCCATACTTTGTCCATTTGATACCATGACACCACCATCACCTGTATGCGCATATGTCATATCTGTACTGAGTTGATTACCAAGAATCAAAAGATTATCAACACGTATACGTAAGTACAAAGTGGACCAGGCACTAGAAATTCGACAGTGTGCATTGAATGCCATTTCATAAAGCATCGGCGTCGGATGATTGAACGCAAGGATAGGGCCAGGTATTTGAACGAAAGTGGCATTCGATTGAACATTGTATTCTATGGGCGACTGCTTTTTCGTATAAAATTTTGGAGGGTAGTAATTGCTGTAGGATTTCATCGAAGTACTGTTAATATAATTAATATTATCGGACGAAGTGACTACAAGTATAAAATATTGCGAAAGAGCAAGGAAGAAATGACAGAAATGACGAAGCGTGTTTGATGTCAACTGTTGACTATAGTGTAATATACCGTGAAAACCTCCAGCAGAGCCG